CTGTTATTCATTCAGCATGAGACTTTCGTTCCTATCTCCGTGTGTCTGTGCCCGCTCGGAGAGCTAGAGCTGAACTTGCATGTATGGAACTGCGTGTGATTATGGTAATTCAATTCATGGGGTTTGTTGGAAGGAAGAAAGGCTGAAACGAAGGCTTGGCACTGAATGCTGAGGTAGGACTGACTGAGAGTGTAAAAGTCGGCCTCGCATGTAGGGTTAGATGTTGGTTCTGCTAGAGTCAACCCGATCGTTTCAGAAGCACCAGAATTTGAGCTAAAAAAAAAACCACCTGAAAATCTGATGAGAAGCCAGAGCTGTAACGTTACGTGGGAGGTTGGGAGTAGCTGGGTAGAGTTTAGCAGTTGAGTGCACAGGAAACAGTAGTTCTATGGCATACGTAGATGGTGTGTGTGTACATATATATATATATATATGACAGACCAGAGAGCACTTCTCATGACGGTGTTTCCGTGGAGTAGCAACATGCAGACAGGAACTGGGCGATGCAAAGGCGGAACAAACCTCTGCGCAGCAGCGGGATGGTCTCAGCCGATGGGATGCTGGGGTAGCGGCAGAGGGTGAGCACAGCTTCGGCGCGACACCAAGGCTCGATGTGCGCAGCACCGGGAGAGAGGAGGGAAAGGAAAGACCAAGTCACCTGTGAGCAGCACGAGGACCGAGAGTTGTGGCGAAAGCTGGCTCAGAAATGCTCCTGACGTCTGCAGCAGCTGCACTGAGTCCTCTCGGGGTTACCGTGAGCAGAGTCACGGGCTTTGCTTTTGGAGACAGAAAGACAGGCGCGTACAAAGAGTTCAGGAGGACAATGGAGCAGAGACAGGCAGCGGTAAGGGGGCAGCTCACCTGGTGACAAGCGTTATCATTTTTTTTGAAAATTGGGCTTGCCTGAAATCATATAAATATGTTCCAGCAGAGAGTGAGCAACAGGTAATGGCAGCAGTTAAGCTCGAGGAGAACCCCCCTCCAGAGTCAGATGATAGAAAGATGTGGGTCTGAGGTGCAAATGATACGCGTGAGCCGAGAAATCAAGGCACAACTATGACTTCGGGAACCCAAGAAGGAAGCGGAGAGCGACTGACTCCTCCCTCCTGAAGCAAACGCAACAGCCACTGGATAAATCTGAGATCGGCCCCGTGATGTGGCAGCTGCCTCACTGTAGGACCAAGGCTGAGGTATAATTGAACAGTTGAACAATTTCTAGGATTATGTCTGAGGATTGTACCCCCCAGAAGAGAAGCATCTCTGGCTTTGTGGTCTCAAAAAAACCACAAAACAAAACACCAAAACCAGCCCAGGTAGGCTGTACCAGAGGAACTCATCACTGGTCCCATCATGGTAAGCTGTTTCCTATGTGGCCACAGTGGTTTATAAAAAATAATCACAGTGCAAATATGCTCATGGAGTAAAATGAGATTAAAATATGTCATAGGCACATGAAGATGTCTTGCTACGAACTCTCGCGTGGCTGGTGGATACCCCAAGACTGGAGCATTGTGTTTCCACTGCCGCCGGGGATGTCGCTTTGGGTCAAGAAGTAACTTGACCGGCGGTGTCGGTGTGGGTTCACAGGGGTTTCTCCACCCATCCGCACACCTGGCTGCTGGGAGCCGGGTTGGAGACTACCGGTTTGTTGTTGGAGGCCATGGGAGAGATGCCCGGCGGCAACTTGCTCCATCCCCTCGTTAGTAAAACTGGGCAT